TGCCTTTGAAACAACCTGCCTTCATTTATTTGCCAGTGATTTCCTGTTGTGTTTAGGATAATAGAGTCTAGATTACTTGAATCCAGGCCGACTCGAGTCCAAATCATCATCCCTCCTACAGTTAGAGGTCTTTGTGCTGATATGATGTGCTCATCATCATATCACTCTATTGGACATTGCTCCAGAAGTTCTTTGGGTTATCCAGATGCATTTTTGCAAACCTAAGCTGTGATACTGTATTCTTAAAACTCATGAACTTTAAAACACATCATGCTAAATCAGGCTAGTCAGGTCTAATAAAAAATAAAAGTCAATTTCGATTTGCATTTGAAAGCATGACTGTTCGTAATTAAATTAGTTGAATAACTGCAGCTTATCTACAGGTGATTACTGTTGCTTACCCAGCGTCTTGACATGTAAAGGGTTTGTTCTCTATTATGTATGTACAAAGAAATGACTTTTGTACAGTAGTGTACATACTTACTCACCTTCCCTCACCTAAAGACAGCCAGTAATACCTTCTAGGTCACAATCATGCCAACTCACTGCCACTCCTCTGCCATTCCAGGTTGCAGAACAAGCTGGTGGCCCACAGGACTTCTCTCTTATGGCCAAAATAATGATTAAAGATCTGTAGCCATGATAAAACCCGTTGAAGCCCGTGTACACATCAGTACTCCAATAATACATCAATACAGCCGTCTGCATACGGAAAAACAAAACAACAAAATATTCTTGTCCCACAATTGGTGACGTTGGTGACACAGAATCTCACCTCGAACACGTGCCCTGCCTCCTCCAACTTCAGGTGGGAGGTTTCCCCGACTCAGGGTGAAATTTAAGACCAGGAATGCACAGGTGTGAATGCATGTTGCAGCATATCTGCGCACAAGTATCCAAAGTGTGTCTGAATGGCTCTGACTGTCGGATATCATCCACACATGACAGCTTACAAACTCTGAGGTAATAGGATAACAAGTGATAATCCCAGGGCATCTTCATTACACATTTGAGGGGATAAAACAGCATGTCTGTCTGTTTACCTGACAGAAACCACTTCTAATTCATGTAGGACTCAAACCCTGATAAAAAAAGTCCCACTTTCTGTTTCATCAAAACCACTACCACCATGAAAATGCTGCTGAAGTCCACCGTCAGTCTGGGAAACTCTGACTTCCAGTATTTATACGCTCATTTCTTCAGGTTGACTCATGACAGCAGGCCGTTTTACAACAGTGTAATTTCATGACAAGACAAAGCAGGCTAATGATTAACAAGCCCGGCCGTCTGCTGAACGGGTGTGGAGGTTCTGAGGAAGATGAGAGAACTGCAGAGCGGAAGCAGCAGGGGGAAAAAACCCTTCATTCAATGGAACAGGAGTTCCTCCTTCCTCTAGTTTCTCTCCATTATTTTAACTTTTCTTCCCCAACATTTCAAAATATCTATTCTCAGACATTTGGGTGAAATTTTTAAATGTAAATATTTGCACTTTTCTTATCTAACTCAAACAAACACACCTCCTTTGACTGTTTTAGGAAGAGACTTTGCTCCGTTTAGCTTCCAGCAGCCTGGCACAGAGTGCACAGTAGCATAAATTGGATTGGTTCTTTGGTTCGTCAACCTCATGTCTTCATATAGGTGGAGGTAAAACCCTGCATCCCGCTAAACTTTAAAAGGAACAATAGTCTCCTAAATCTCGTGAACGGTTTTAGCCTTTTCCGCTCTCTGTAAGTGAATGACTGGCTGGTCTCTTAGCTCTGGCGTCGCCTGCAATCAGCCACAGGTATACAGACCTGTGGCTCAAACTTCAAAACATTATTTCCTTTTAAAATTATATGTTCTTCCCCTTTAGTGTTAGAGATACTCCAAAGTGCTGATTTTGTCCTCTTTGGGTTGTGGCAGCCATCTTTCTTTTAGCTGATTTGCCTTGTACAGCAACATGTGGAGGAGGGGCAGCCACATATCAGAATATGCTCCATACAAACTGGGAAATCTTTGTTTACTGTCACATTAAAGAGTGACTGATAACCGGCTCATGACTGGTTTGACTGGGAAGGACATAAAACTTAAATCATGTTTCTATTTTCCTTAGAGATGGGAGGCTGGCTGATATTTTTGGCCGATGATGTCGTTCTATTTCCCCGTGCCTGCATCCATTCACATATTCATTATTGCAGCGGGCAGCCGTGCTTTGACAAAGCAAATGCATTAGTGAGCCCTACCACTACCATCTATTGTTAATGTTTGCTTTGATTTGCTAAACGTTATTTTTTTGTTTAAATTCAGATTTACCTTTTTTTTTTATCATCGCGTTATTATTATAGTTTAAATAGAAGAATAAGCAATATCTGCTAAAATAAACAAAACAAAACGAAAGGAGCAGAAAAACAGAAAAAACTAAAACTTATCAGTAAACCTCTAGTGTAAAATAAACTAGACAGTGGTGTCGGGTGCAGGAGTTGCCCTGCAGTCGGAGGGTTGTCGGTCAAGCCCCTGCTCTGGATTTCAGTGTCGTGTCCATGGACAAGACACCTGCATTGCCCACTGATGGTGGTCAGAGGAACTGGTAGCACCAATGTTAAAATTGTAGGCTGTTCCAACCGTTGCATTTCCAAATTGCCCAGAGTGCTGCACGACTTTATACGAGTGAATAAAGTGAATGTGATTGGTCATTTATTCAGGGGGCAGGATTGTTATGGCGGAAGGTTCGCAAGCAAGTTTGATTGTGGCCGGTTTCTCTGAAGCATCTTGCTCACCAGTTAGCAACTTAGTGCTAGTAGGGTCCCAATGGGAAATTCCATTGGGACCAAGTAGCACTAAATTGGTGACTTAGAAACGACACTGTCATGAAACGCTATGGACAGCGGAAACATGCAAGAGGAGGAGAGTTTAGTGTCGGAGGTCGTGGATGAGTCTCCTCCGTCATCCATTTATTTAGAAGAGGAAAGCGGGGACGAAGATGTTGTGGAAGAGGACGCCAGGGTGGCAGAAGCTTGGTTTGGTGTAGAAGGCTTCCAGCCGTACATGTTTGAGCCCTTGTCCTGTGGACACAGAGGTCCATGGTGATGGACGTCTGTGTCCATCCCCGTGAACACTGGGACGGAACTCAATGGGAAAGGAAATTATTCTTTTTTGTTATTTTAAATGTTGCGTATATTAGCTGATGACAGATGAATCAAGATGCTATGACCGAAAAAGTTTGATTGACAGATGACCGTTGATATATGATTGGCCGAATCATTATATTTAGTGAGTCCCAGCGCACCTGCGGCTACGATGTAGTTTGCCACCATCAATGTGTGAATGGATGAATGAGTGAATGTAGTGTAAAGCGCTTTGGTCAAGTCCACTGACTTGAAAAAGCACTATATAAGTACTGGCGATTTACCATTTATTTTTTCAATTTTTCTAGTTTGTATCAAGATTACAGAGGTCTGGCAAGCATGGAAAGAATGTCTGTGGAGGCAGCGTTTCAGGAAAAGACTGCAGTAGCAGTGCGTCCGTGTCTTGGTGCCCCTTAAATCCATCCATGATCATCTCCATGGTGGTAACCTGGTTCTGGCTACCTGTGATCTAAGGCGTGGTGCATTCATTGGCAGATTTTGTCAAATCTTTCTAGGGAGGTGCTGATAACTTACAGAAGCCACAACCAACCCAGACACATGGCAAAGTTGCTGTTTGGTGAATTCCACTTAAACGTTCAAATTAGGAAAACTATCCAGCAATCTAACAATGTGTAGCTTGTTTGAGTTGCAGCCAACCAGATTTAAAACAAGCAGAAAATGCATTAATTCACATAACTTTGTTGTTCTATCGTTATTTAAAATAAAGAGACTAATATTACATGTTATCTTTGATTGACTCTTAACTAATCAACTGAGACAAAACTTTACCTAAAGATTATGAATAACCAAAATAATATGTCTAAACATAGATATATTAACCATTTTAAATTTTATCAGTTTTCATTAAAAAGCTGCAGTGAATTTCCACATCAAAAGGATGTTTTAACCCCATTTAAAAACTTGCTTAATAATGAAATCCATTTTTGATATAGCAGAGGTCTATAAGACATGTAAAAAAAAAAAAAAAAATAAAGTTTTCAATTTAAAAATTCACCCGGCATTGGTGCCCCAAGAGGAGACATTTTCAGCTGGACTGAGAGCAAATGTGTCTCTTTGGATGCTAAAGGATGCAGCCTTCTACTCTAAACCATTAGACCTCATAATGTGCAGATCTTCATTTATCAGGAGTTCACTCCTGAAAGTTTTCCATTAATTGTCTCCACTGAACTGCATGTAAAGGCTCTCAGTCCATTAGCTGCTGGAGCTCATCAGTGATGTTTGTGAAAGCATTTCCACTGAAGCAGCCTTACCCTAAACTGATACGAGCCATGTGATAAACGGGATTGGCTCACTGTGCTCCAGGAACAGATACCTAAAGGCAGTAAGAAATGATTCAGATTCTGATCAAACTGATCCTGTTGTTCATTGAAACGAAAAGCCTCAAACTGACTGCAGTTTAAACCACAGGCTGCATCTTTTTTATTGCAGCAGCGTTCAGAAGGGCGGAAATCCTGCAGAAACTTGACCAAGTTGTTCGATCATGAGGTCATTTAGACTGCTCCAAATAATCACGTCCATTTCAAAAACACAAAATCTGTTTCCAGCAATGAGTCGACTAATAAGAGTGAAGTCTCAAAGAGAATACAGTGAAATTTAAATGTCCAAAAAAATCAATAAAATAAGATGTCCAGGAATAAAAATAACCTTTAACAGACTGAAACAGAAAGCTGCTCTGAATAAAGGCTGAAGCTTGTTTTGGACTGACTTCTCCCATGCACACGCGCCAAAGTTTGGATCCTGAGGGGAAAAACTGAGCTCTGTCCCGCAGACACTCAGATCAGGAGGAATGAAGCATTAAAGATGATAAAGAGGAAAAGCATTCCCTGAAGCAAAGACAAGAACATCATTAAAGGTAGACTTTTCTGCTGAACTCACCCTGTCGAGCGTGTCGTCAGCGTCAGGAGCAGCAGCAGCAGGTCCTTAGGTGAGAAAAAGTTACTCCAAATCTCCCACAGCAAGCTGGAGGAACAAAATGACCCGAGTGGTGCTGGGTTATCTCATGGATCAATGCTGCAGCTGCTGCCACACAATCACACAGACGCTCTTCAGTCCAAACTCCTCTGCTGTCCAAGCTAAAACTCTTCAATCTGCGTGTCCAGCGGAGGAGACTGTGGGTGTGTGTGTGTGTAGCAGGAGACTGAGTGCATGTGTGAACAAGCAGAGGGAGTGTGCAGGAGTGTGTACACTCCCTGAGAGGGAGGCGACTGCGAGGAGAGGGAGAGAGAGAAGGGAGCAGCAGGTAATCACACTCCCTCCTCTCACTCCAACGCAGCGTTTGCTCAACCAGGATTTCTTACCTAATCTTTGCCGAGAGGGAAAGAAAGAAAACTGCAGACACTCCTCTTTACTCTTGTTGCGCAAAAAAAGAAAAGGAAAAAAAAAAACTAACAAAAAACATTCCCACTATGTCAAATATGTGCTTGCAGACAAGGTCAGAGTATTTCTCTCTTTGTGTTCAGTATTTGTTTTAGAACCAAAATTAGAGGCAGGATTATTTAGGTCCCTTTGACTCAAATCCAGCAAACTGGCATCAGAGGTGATGTCATTTATAAAACGAGTCCACCTGTGTCTGATCTAAATCCAGCCCTTCCAATGACGGCCTTAAAAAGGTTCTAAGGAGATACCGAGAGAACGAACGTTATAAAGAACCAGGAACAAAGCAGATGAAGAAGGGAGAAAGATCTTGAGATGTTTAAAACATGGTTAGCTTCTAAAACAATTTTCAAAATCCATCTCCCATAATTCAATCCATCATCTGATTATAAGGGGGGAATGGACCCCCTGCAGACCTTCCAAGACACTGAAGTCCATCTAATCCAACAGGACAGACAAGGGAAACATTCATCCAAGCAGCCAGGCCAGCTGACAGGACCACCATCAGGCCATTAAAAGCCCCATTAGCAGAGCGCAAAAAACATGTAGAATATATGGAAGGACGTCCTCTGGTCAGATAAGGGGATAAATTTATAAGTAAACACAGTCACTGAGAAGAAACACAACGTGATACTGAACACACGGCTCCAATGGTGAAACACGGTAGTGGCAGCATTAGGGAAGCTGGTCAGAACCATTACAGGATGAATAGAGCCAGGGAAACTGAAAAAAATATACAGTATAATGTGTGGATATATATGTACACTACCGTTCAAAAGTTTGGGATCACATTGAAATGTGAGAAATTGCAAAGAAATTGAAGATTTCCTACAAAGGTGTGTACTACTCCCTTCAGAGGACAGCACAAACAGGCTACTGCGGGTATTATTTAATGAAGATGCCAGTTGGGGACCTGTGAGGCGTCTGTTTCTCAAACTACAGACTCTAATGTATTTATCTTCTTGCTCAGTTGTGCAACGTGGCCTCCCACTTCTTTTTCTACTCTGGTTAGAGCCTGTTTGTGCTGTCCTCTGAAGGGAGTAGTACACACTCCCATTTCAATGTGACCCCAAACTTTTGAACGGTAGTGTATATGTGCGTGTGTATATGTAAATGTGCTTGCAACTTGATAAACTAAATGAAAAACCCCCTGCAGCCAGGAGTGAAAAAGGCTTTTTTCTCACTTTCATTTTTTTATTTCTTTAAGCTGTGATGCAAAAGAAGCCTTTCAGAATAAATATTTTATTATTTTTTCTGTAGATTTCTGGCTTTAGACCAGATAAAAACACATGTGGATCTTTCTCAAACATTCCCTCTAATAGTTCCTTTACCCGTTTCTAATCTTAAGATATAACTAATTCTAAATAAAAGGTTTTTTTTTTTATTTAATTTGAATATTTTCACACCTTTACATTTTTAAAATTAAACTGAGTTTTCATCCCACTTTTGGGCAGTCTTTGAGATTATCTGTGGAATTGCTGTTATCCGGCTGTATGAGGTGATTCAGAGAGTTCGAAGGTGTCACCGGTGAAACTCTTAAATAGAGTTAAGATAGCTACTAATCTTTCATCTACAGGTTTATTAAACATTCCACCTGAGTTAGTTTGGCTGATTATGTCTACCCCATGTAGGGATGGACAATGATGCAATATCAATATTAATTGCGTATATAATCTTATTCAATAATGGTCGTATGACGTTTATGACCCTTTTTCGATATACATTTTAGTCTATTTAAGTGTTTTTTCCCGTTATCTTATTTAGGCCTTTTAGTTAATCGTCAGCCTGAACACTTAAATTCGGCCAATCATATATCAACGGTCATCTGTCAATCACATTTTTTCAGTCATGGCATCTTGATTCATCCATCCATCCATCCATTATCTTACACGCTTGTCCCAATTGGGGTCGCGAGGGGTGCTGGTGCCTATCTCCAGCAGTCAATGGGCGAGAGGCGGGGTACACCCTGGACAGGTTGCCAGTCCATCGCAGGGCAACACAGAGACACACAGGACAAACAACCATTCACACACACACTCACACCTAAGGACAATTTAGAGAAGCCAATTAACCTAACAGTCATGTTTTTGGACCGTGGGAGGAAGCCGGAGTACCCGGAGAGAACCCACGCATGCCCAGGGAGAACATGCAAACTCCATGCAGAAAGACCCTGGGCCAGAAATTGAACCCAGAACCTTCTTGCTGCAAGGCAGCAGTGCTAACCACTGCGCCACTGAGCAGCCCATCTTGATTCATGTCGCAGCTAATATACGCAACGGTTGAAATAAGAAATAAGAATAATTTACTTTCCCATTGAGTTCCGTCCCAGTGTTCATGGGGGTGGACGTCTGTGTCTTCAGCAGACGTAGAGCTAACAGAACTGGCAGCGTTGCGAGGCAAGGGCTCAAACATGTATGGCTGTAAGCCTTCTACACCAAACCAAGCTTCTGCCGCCCTGGCGTCCTCTTCCACAACATCTTCATCCCCACTTTCCTTTCTCTAAATAAAAAATGTATGACGGAGGAGACTCATCCACGACCTCCGACACTAAACTCTCCTCCTCTTGCATGGTTCTGCTGTCCATAGCGTTCCTTGACGGTGTCGTTTCTAAGTCACCAATTTAGTGCTACTTGGTCCCAATGGAATTTCCCATTGGGAACCTACTAGCACTAAGCTGCTAACTGGTTAGCAAGATGCTTCCAACAAACTGGCCACAATCCAATTTGCTAATTATTATGAAGATTTGTGAGCACATATTTTTAGGCTTAGCTTTATCTTTTAAATGTATGAAAGTCAGTCAAAAAAATAAAGGGGGAGATAACAGAAACTGTAAAAGAGGGAAGAACCCTTAAGACTGAAATACGAGGAGGGCGAGATGATCAGCTGGTTATATGTTCATTTTAATCTGTTCAGCTTGTAGCATAGTAACAAGTAGTAACATAACAAAACATTTTCATAAGCTTGCATAGGGATCTGTTCTGGTCATTACTGGAAGTCTTTCTGAGGCTCGATATCAGAAGCGTATCATATCGACCGACATTGAGAAATGTATCATGATATGAGATTAGGTAATCTCATCAGTAATAATCCATGGTTTCTTTTTTTTTCAGATTTTTCACCTTTTGCTGTAAAAGGGGTGAAGAAGTGGCAACCAGATTTATTGCTGCATCTTTCACAAAATAAAAAAAAAGAAAAAGAGGGAAATGTTGGAATCATAAGAAATAGCCTTACAATGAAGTAGGTTTGTGCATTTTAGTTTTAAATCAATCATCATTAGTATCAACTGAAGATTTTTCTTAAGAGTACATCCAAGAGTAATGCCATGCAAAATTCCTCAGGCAACTGTTAGGACAGCTCAGTGACAGCACTAGGGAGATATTTCATATTTCAGATATTAAAAAATATAGTTTTGGCTAGTGTGACTAGTCCAAATTAACTGAAATATCTTGATTATAATTCCGGATGTGTAACACTTTAAATGATAAATCAGATTACATCATTTGATATGTCTCAAAATGTATTTTGACTCTCTAAAATAGATAAATGAATGAAAAGATACCTTGAATTGTTATTTTTCCCTAGACATAATATAAAAATATAAAACATCATTAAGGGCAGTCAAAATTTTGTAAATAATGTTTGTCTATTCTATTAAAATGTCTGTATCTCTATAATGCGTCTGTATTATGAGAAGTCTTCTTGAGTGAGAGGGCCCAGTGTCCGTCTTTGCCTAGGGCTAATCTGCCCCTGCTTCAATTCTCTCCTGCGGGTTTTATCTGTTGTGCCCAGAATGACCTCCCCTGTCGCAGGAGCGCGCATCGCCCTAAACTCACTCCCACTGATAAGAAAATGGATTGAAATACGAACAAAAAGGAAAATTTAAACATATTCTTAATGTTTTCATATTTCTTATGCCTTAAAATTGATAGTTTTAGTGGACAGATAAATTCGAATTAAAAGGATTTTACTTGTATGGAGACGCGTTTCAGTCGATGTGCTACAGTCAGTGTGCGATGAATAAAGTCTCTTCTCAGTGGAAGCCAATTCCCCATTTAACTATCAACACCATTCTAGATCATTTCTGATACTTTATTTGTTAAACTTAGAACCTGGAACCTGCAGAAGATTCCCTCCCCTCCTTATTTTCACATTCCCTCAAATCATGTCTTTGCCTCTTGGTCGTGATGCTGTTCAGAACAGCGTCAGCTGCTCCACTGGTTGCGCCACTGAGGTCGAAAATGAAATCGCTTGTGCCCTCTGGGCCACCGTAATTTGGTCAGGCTACTTGTAAGACCACAGCCTTTTAAATGTTGAAAGGGCACCATTATTGCCATTACTGTTAATATATAATAGAAATTTACACATTCAGTGACAGTGAGAGGGCATGCGCGAGATGATTAAATTCAAAGCAGCAAAACATGCGGAAATGATCCATGGTTTCCGCGAATCATTAAAAATAATTACAATTCATAATTTTTTTTGGATTTTTTCATTAATTTCATTTAAAAAAAAAAAAAATTCATTAATTTTTATAGGTTTTATAATTTTTTTTATTTTTCGGTGTAACAATAAACATATACCGAACCGAAAACCGTGACCACGAAACCTTGAACCGAGCCGTATTTTGTGAACCGTTCCACCCCTAATATATACACACACATACATACATAGATATATATACACTTATATATATATATATATATATATAAACACATACAATTACATACACACACACACACACACATATATATATATATATATATATATATATATATATATATATATATATA